GATAGATAGATAGATAGATAGATAGATAGATAGATAGATAGATAGATAGATTAACCTAATTGAAGTATCCTTAAGATTTGAGCTAAATAGAAAACATGCTAAACAGCAAATATGTGCAACACACTTTACTTTAAACTCAAGTAAATTACTTATTCTTCTACACATTTGAAAAACAAGGCTCTATCAGTGTCTGCATTTTTTTTAAAAGCAGGACGAACAATTTTTGAGTTTATTTTGTGGCTGCAGATGCCGTCCACCTCCTTGTTTTAGAGGAAAGGAGCAGTGACCAGATCATATATAAGTATCCTAAATAATTATCTTTAGAAATACTCATTTCCAAATGCACATAAAGGAAAACAACAGGCTTCTGTCTTCTCAGAATATGAGCGTACAGCCATCAGGACTTTACTGATGCTCCTTTAAAGGGTTAAACCTTTAAAACAGGCTCAGTTAGACTGGGGAAATCGGAAAAACAGAATTATTTTGGTCTTTTCCAGAGGTTTAAAAGCATCCAATGACACCTAAAACAGGAACAGGATACATAAGTATCCTATATAAATATCTTTACAAATGCTAATTTCGAAATGCACATTTACGTCATTTTTTTCACACTTTGCCTACTGATAGGCCCTCAACAGTCCCAAATGCACACAATCAAATGATTAAAAACTTGGTTTGGCATAACCAAGTAATGGCCATGGGCCATAATCATGGCTCAGGCCCACCCTGAGCCATGGTTCTGCCCAAGGTTTCTGCCTGTTAAAAGGAAGTTTTTCCTCGCCTGTGTCGCCTAGTGCTTGCTCATGGTGGGAATTGTTGGGTTTCTGTAGTTAACTTCAGAGTAGGGTCTGACCTGCTCTGTTTGGAAAGCTGTGAGACAACTGTTGTTGTGATGTGGCGCTATATAAATAAAATTGAATTGAATTGAATTGAATAATAAGTCCCCTTTAAGTTAAAATGCCGGCGTTTCGCTCAGAGCTCAGCTTCTGCCTTCCCCACAGGAGCGGCGGATCCTGGAGGAGACGGTGATGCCCCTGACCCCCCGTTCCTCCGCCCTTTCCTCCCCCAGCCGGGGGGAGCCGACCTCCCTCCCCGAGCCCCAGGACACAATCGTCCGATCGCTGGCCGACTGGGAACGCAAGCAGGAGCTGCTGGAGAGGCAGTCCGTGAGTAGCCAATCGGATCGATTTGGTGCGATTGTGAAGATTCCTCCTGTATATCCTCTCAGACACACATCCAACTCTTTATTTTTTAAATTACTCATCAATATACAGTGGGGGAAATAAGTATTTGACCCCTTGTTGATTTTGCAGGTTTGTCCACTTACGAAGAATGCAACAATATATAACTTTAATCATATGTACATTCTAACAGTGAAAGACAGAATCCCAGAGAAAATTCCAGAAAATCACATCATATGAATTTATAAAAATTGATAACCATCTGATGAGGAAAAATAAGCATTCTTTGTAAGTGGGCAAACCTGCAAAATCAGCAAGGGGTCAAATACTTATTTCCCCCACTGTAACCTGTGAAAACACCTGAATCTGAACTGCTTTCCCTGAGACTACGCTAAGCCACAGTGTTTAACCAGTTGACTTTTATGGGGTTTAACCAAGAAAAAGACATGTTGAAATGGGATTGAGCTTCTTATTTTGTCCGGCTGACCGTGGACCAAAGCTCCCTGACTTATCTATGACATCCAGTACTGAGTCAGTCAATATTATTACTATGATGCACATCAATAAAGTCTAAAAGTCTAAATGTGATGGATTCGTAAACATGAGTTACCTCAGAACTTCCCCATGATGATATTAAGACTTAGACTTAGACTTAGACTTCCTTTATTGTCATTGTACAAAAAACACAAGGTGAATCTTGACAACGAAATGTCGATCACTTGGCTACCAGTGTGACAGAGCTAAGACCTTATTCCTACTTAATAAATATGTTTTCTATAACTAAGAGCTAGATATATACAGGGTAAGGCAAGGCAAGGCAAGGCATTTTTATTTATTTACCAAGCGGCAACTCAATGTGCTTTACATTAAGACAAGACATTTTAAATAAAAGAACAGCATAAAACAAACAAACAAACAAAAAACTTTTTTTTTAAAAAGGTTGAAACACAGTTAAAAGCAGGAACAAAGGAAAAAGCTATATGTTTGTTACAGCTCCAGTGCTTTTGCAAAACCAAGATTACAATGTTAAAAGAACATATTAAGAGCATATATATACATATTATTGCTCAGAGTTATTACAAAAGAAACATCAATGAATATTGCACTGAGTTGATTGCAAAAAGAAACAATTGAGTTGAAGACAAAGCTAAACTAAGCCCCCTCCACTAAAAGGAATCAGGAGGATATCCCACTAAGCATCAGCAGGCTTTAACACACTGGTTTTGGTTATCTGGTGAGAAGGCAACAGGCCCCATCTGTGGAAGTTCGGCCTGTGGGGAATAACACGAGCTGGTTGTGTGTTTGTGCAGAGGGGGGGGGGCTCGGAGAGCACAGAGAGGAAGAGGAGAGAAAACGACCGAACCAGTGACATCAGCACCGCGGACGACAGCATGAAGACCAGCAGGAGGTGGGTCAAATATTCCAGTTTGGCCAGTTTACCGAATCCAGAATCACTCCGTTTGACCCAGAAGTTTGTCCTCCTTTAAGTCTTGATATTACTCTCATTTCCTACATGAGGAGTGTTTGTTTTCCTCCCTGTCACAGCAGAGTCTTTAGAGCTGAATTGGAACGTATGTGATGTGAATATCTGATGGAGGACGGTTGTCAGCTTGTTTCTCCTTCTGTAACCATCAGCCTGGTGAGTCAGGGCAGCAGCAGTAAGGCAGAGAACAGCCTCCAGAACGGACAAAAGCTTCCCCCCCCGCCGGCTCCAGCCAGGAAACAGCACGAGCCCCGGGTGGACGGCCCCAGGGCCGCTAACCGGCCCGCCGGGGAGCGGAGGTGGGAAAAAAGGGCTTCAGACGGCGGCCATTTTGTCTGCCGTTTCATTTCATTTCAGTCTGTTTT